TAATACTAAACCTATACTATTAATACTAGACCTATACTATCAATACTAGACCTATACTATTAATACTAGATCTCTAAAACTAGACCTTTACTATAATACTATATCTCTAGACCTATACTATAATATTATACCTATACTATAATATTAGATCTCTAATACTAGACCTAAACTATAATACTTGACCTTGGTGCGAATATTACCTGTTTTCATTTTTCCATATATTCTTACTTGTCCTTGAATCTCCTGCGATCATTGTTGCACTTATACATGGCACAGAGATCTCCACGACCTTTTTTCACACTTGTTTACACACCATGTGCCCCTAAACAGGACCACAATGCTTTGCGCTAGATAAAGATGATGGTATTCGTTAAACGGCTCAGGTGTGTACAAATGTTATTTTATTTTTGTGCTCAGGTAGACTGATCATAAAGTGATTATTAAAAAAAAAATTGTTTATGAATAGACATATTGAAAAGTGTCTATACTTAAATTAAAAACCATATATACAAAACACCTATGAATAAAACTATATTTTAAAAAAACTATCAACAGACTCAAAATTAAAACTACTCTTATTTGAAAAGGTTATGCGGTAAATTTATTTTTACCAGTCAAATGGCCCCATCTGCTGCCCTATTGGAGTTACGACTACAAAAATTAAGCGTTATTTCAGAAAATTATAATACTACAGACTTATAACTTCAAAACACAAAGTTTTAAAAATAATTACATTTTTCCGTGTTTTAATCTTTTTATTATCATTGTCTATAAAGGAAAAATTACAATGTGTTCCTGAACGCACCACAACGTCACGTAACAGTGGAGAACGTGATTGTAACAGTCTATCGAAACAAATAAAATAAAAACACAACATATAACTCGCTTTAACACTGTTTGAATTCATGAGTTATTCTTTCCATATCCAAAATTTCAGGTAGCTTTTAGTTTGATTGTTTTTAGTCCGTTAGAAAAGCGGTGGTTTGTACGAGCTGTGTGGGAGGAGAACTTTCAGAAACAACTAAGTTGGAAAACTCCCATCAGGCATTGAGGTTCAACTCAAAATATTTATCTTTTATACAGTATTTCACTATGATTTACTATTGTCTTAATAGTTCCTTGTGTTGTTTTAGTTTTACGAGTATAAAATAATTACTTTTATCAAGATTTTAAAACCGTCACTTAAATAGGCTGTTGTTGATATAAGTACTCCACGTTTTCTTGTCTTCAGTACACTCTTGTTTCTCTTCAAATCGTATAAATCTTTCGCCTTTTACTAAAGATTTCCGTGGAGAGGAACAACAAGAGTTCATCTTAATTTTTGATGCTCTGTGAAAGCAGGGCTTCTAAATTTGTCCAAAAGAAAAACATGGCAATTGCATACTAAACCACAGCCAAACATGTAGATACATACATTATTTACAAAGCCCATGTAGATTTTTAAAGCTATTAATGTTGATGTGGACTTGAGATTTGGATCATGACCAAAATAATTAAATCCTGAATATAATCTCACTGAAATGAGCACTTCTGACTGGCTCAGTATTTGATGAGAGACTCTGTTATTCAGTGGAGCTTGAAGTAACTTGCTGCTTCTCCAGTTTGAATGGAGTCAGCTGTGGTGGTTTAGGCATTTGATATCATCTTGGTTGGTTGGTGGATCATTGTGTTGTTAGTTGGTTGTGTTGTGTTGTTGAGCTATTACGTTCTTGGATCATTGTGTTGTTGGTTGGTTGATTGGGTGGACAAACAAACAATGACACCAGATCTTGGTGAAAATGATTTTGAGGCTGTTTCTCCTAAATCAAAAAGCAGCACAAACATATGCCTTCTTACAAATCAGTCAATATCAATCAAGTAAGTACAAGAAGAACAGCAAACTCAGGGGCTTTTGTTTCACAACATTCAACTGATGGTTGATTGTGTTAGAAAATGATCTGCTGTACTGTGATTTCAAAAATACATTCATGCCATTTTCTTGATCCTTGGCGTCTGCTTTTGTCCTTCTCAGGTGAGTGTATATGGATTCATGACAGAAGACTACAAAAAGTACTCCAACTACTACTTTGAAAAGCACCTCAAAACCAATGTCATGTTTCACGCTAACCATGACTACATCATGGAGAAGAATCTGTGGAAGAGACTCCATGATAAAATGTACTGAAGCTATTTCAATGAACTAACTCACCTGAAGGAACCAAACAGCTGAAGCAAAGTTGACACACTGAGAATTTTAGTTACAAGATCGAGAATAAATCCTAGAATAAATACAGTGACCCTGAGCATTTCTGTTGGGAAGACAACCTACTAGACTAGAGAAAACAAGTGTGTGTGTGTGTGTGTCTGTGTGTGTGTGTGAGGGGTAGTTGCAAGTAACGTTTGCAGGGCCTAAATAATTACTACTTAAGGTTGTCCATACTTTGTAATATTAAATTGCCAAAACGATCAGCAGGCAGACACATTTTGTATGTGGTCAGTTATGATCGCTGTAAACCACATCAACATCTTTAGCACTAGACCTATACTAGTAATACTAAACCTATACTATTAATACTAAACCTATACTATTAATACTAGACCTATACTATCAATACTAGACCTATACTATTAATACTAGATCTCTAAAACTAGACCTTTACTATAATACTATATCTCTAGACCTATACTATAATATTATACCTATACTATAATATTAGATCTCTAATACTAGACCTAAACTATAATACTTGACCTTGGTGCGAATATTACCTGTTTTCATTTTTCCATATATTCTTACTTGTCCTTGAATCTCCTGCGATCATTGTTGCACTTATACATGGCACAGAGATCTCCACGACCTTTTTTCACACTTGTTTACACACCATGTGCCCCTAAACAGGACCACAATGCTTTGCGCTAGATAAAGATG